TGTAGGTACCATGCCTTTATTGTTTTATTCTCAGGAAAATTACAGTTTCATACTTCCTTTAGAATAACACCATAATAGAGGTAATTTGTATGCGTACTGTAAAGTCCTTGGGTCCGAATTATACAGTCTCATCTCAACCTGTGCTTTACCATTTCACCACACAATCAATAAAGCCAAAATTAGAGTATATTCATAATAATAGGGTTAACGGAAGCATGAATACATTCAAAAGACTCAAAATATAACAGTTTCCCAACCTAAAAAATAGGCCATGCATCGCGGTGTGTAGCTTGTGTGCCATGGCATGTGGCAAAGAACACCTACCTTATTTCATACTGTGTCATACGCTGCGGTGCACCTGTCTAAAATTTTGCTGTCATTTTGATAGCAAAAATGATGAACTTCTAGCGTGTGTTATTTTCACATCCAATATCCAATTAGAGTGATTCAAGCGCTTATACAAAACTTACGATGTGTACTAGCTAATGGAACAAGTTCGGACTCGATTTGATGATCTGATCTAAAATTAGACACCCAAGTGCAAAAAGATATTTTTTCTTTCAAAAACACACCCCCCAAGTGCTCAATTTGCACTTCTTGTTCCGTTAGACCACTTTGAGCCTTGAACTAAGTCCAAAAGGACCACATACACTTAATTAACATCATATATATCAAATATCACATAAATAGCCCATTTTGGCCTCTTAAAGCCACATCTTGTGGTTTTATATGAGGAAATCAAATATATAGCAAAAATTCACATATAAAACTAGACTTGTTTCACTTTTCATCCTCTGACTCTCACATATAGGGCTCCGTCTCACCATATGGTCAAGAATCACATATGTACTTGACTCTTTCAAATAGAATTCTACCTCACCATTTGTGTCAAGTTCTTACCATTTGTGTTAAGTTCTCATACAATTAACATAATTCACATTCAATTCACAATCAATACACACTCATCACATATATACACTAGTGGAACAAGTTATAACATCACACGTTTGCTTGTTCGTATTTTAGCCTACCCATGTACCCTCTTTAGGCGCATCCCCAGCACAATGCATCACATATACATATATACAAGCAAGTTTCACAATACCATCCACTTTCTCATATTGACAAACAAATATGCATCTTAGTTGGCAACTTAATTCTATCAACACATTTATACATTCATATCTACTCATAGGCAGTCATAACACTACCAATTGAGGTAACTCTTTTCTTGCTTCCTTTCCCGGCCTTCTCAAGCTCTCTTTACCTGTGTTTAAAAGTAATAGAATGAGATATACGTCCTAATAACTTGGAGGTAACCTCAATTATTGATTAGTAAGCAACATCATAAACAAGTGATAAAGTAGCATGAGTAATGGTAAAAGCAATAATATATGCATATATAGGAATTCATTCTCATCAATCTCATTATACGCATACAATGCAGTTCTAATTCCCCCTGGTAGAGTAAACTCTACCCCTGGACTAGGCCCTCCAGTCACCAAGAATAGGGCCCACCATACCATTGCTCAGATCAGGTCATTTTTATATGGGTGGTCTTCTAGGTTGATCATGGTGGAGCCTAGCTCTATGCTCTGGATTATCAGGACTTTTTAGCCTTATGCAGAGTAAGACTATGGCCGCCTACCTTAGTCTAGGGTAACCTTGTGGATCATTCAATATTCTAGGTCTGTCATGTAGAGTCAAACTCTATGCTCTGGATTATCAAAATTTCTTCTCCTAGGTCTGTCCTAGCGGAGTCAAGCTCTGCGCTTTGGATCATCAGGATTTCTTAGACCTCTTCATAGTAGGGCCACATTTCCCTATATCATAATCCAGGGTATATCTCGTGGATGTGATGCAAGTCAGTACACACGTCACTTCTCAAACTCATTTCAATTAATATTCACACATCCGCATATACTTTCACACTATTGCTACTCTATGAGTTCACAATACAATGCACGGAGTTATATTAAAATACTTACAAACAATTTCACAACAAACAAGTAAAAGGCTTACTCCAGTTACTTTTAACCCTTACTACTAAGGGTTACCAATCACATTAAGCTCCAAAAGGCGCAGATTGTCACGAGCAACTTCACAAGTGCTTAATCTACATAACAAAGTGCCCCTCAGTCAATTCTCAACACAATTCATGGGTATTAATTCGGTTAAACTGAATCACTTGACACATAAAACAGTTCAATTGAACCATTTTCAATTCACTTCTTCATTATTTATGATCACTAGCCCTATAGGTTAATCAAACAATCATAATAACTTCCTAACACACTCATCCGCCTAAATTCACCTTATTGACCTAACTTTTAGGTCATTTTGAGCCTAAATGTTCAAAACTCAATCGTTCAACTCCATACTAGTCATACAACCTTAGTTTTATATTCGATATCCTATCTTAACCCTTTCTTTTAGATTACAACACCTTAGAATCTCATGGTTCGATTACTCAACTGATGAAATTCAATGAAAAAGAGGTAGTATTGAAGCTTGGGATTGCGCTATACTTACCCAGCAAGTAATCAATCGAAGCAGACTCCCGAGCTCTAGATAATGCTTGCCCTAACAGAGATGGCTTCCTCTTGCTCTCCAAACATATCTCCAGCCTCCTCCCTTCTATTTTCATGAGCTGTTCATGTTAGCTTTAAATGATTTTTGGACGGTGTGCCACGGCACATGCAACCTTTGCCACGGCGCGTGGCATAATGAGAAAATTCTTACTTGTGCTTGTACGTTCTGTCCCGGATTTCCTCTCTATCCTTTCATCCTATCAATGCAACACCCAAACAACACAAAATATCAACTCCACACTCAAACCACAATCAATTCACTAGTTATTAATTTATCCTTGATTAGCAATTAGTTTTTAAGATTGAAATTCAGGATGTTACAATTCTCTCTTCGTTTAAGGGAATTTTGTCCCCAAAATTCAAACACAAGCCTAACTCACCTTACGGGAACAAATAAGGGTATTGCTTTCTTATACTCTCCTCCATCTCCCATGTCGCGTCACCCGAAGCCATTCCTCGCCAAAACACTTTAACCAATCAGATAGTCTTATTACACAACTACTTCTCTTTAACATCCACTATCTGTTCTAGTTCATTTTGATAAGTTAGGTTCTCCTGAAGCTCAACTTTTTTTGGCTCAATCACATGTGATAGATCCGGTTGATATTTCTTCAATTGTGACACATGAAACATCATGTATTCTGGATAGAGGTGGAGGTAAAGCAATTCTATATGCTATAAGACCTACTCTACTCAAAATCTAGTATGGTTTTATATAGCGAGGTGTTAGTTTCTTGGCCCTTATAGACCTATCAATGTTGGCCAATGGCGAAACTTGGAGAAACACATGATCTCCCACTTCAAACTTTAACGGTCGACGTCACTTATCAGCATAACTCATTTGATGGCTCTAGGTAGTAAGAAGCTTTTGCTATATAACTATGATCTTTTCGGTGGTTTGATCCACAATATTAGGACCAATCACACTTCTCTCACTTAATTCAACCTAACACAAGGGTGATCTACACCTTCTCCTATATAATGCCTTGTACAGTACTATTTGAATACTCAAGTAAAAGCTATTATTATAGGCGAACTCAGCTAAAGGCAAATGGCTATCCCAGTTGTCTTTCCACTCAAGGGCACACGATCAAAACATGTCTTTAGTCTGTATTGTGCGCTCTGTAACATCTCAAAAATTAACCTAAGGTTAATTAAGTTAATTTAGTGCAAATGAGTAATTTTGAAGGAATATTTAGATATAAATAATTTTAGTTAGAAGATTATTATTGGATTTAATTTAGATTAAATTCTAAGTTATGATTTTATAGTAAATAGAAATAGTAATAATAATATTATTATAAAAAAAAGAAAGAAAGAAGAAGGAAAAAGGAACATAAAATAAATTGAAAATTGAAGAGGGGGAAGAGAACTAATTTTTGCTTTGGGTGTTGAGGTGTAAATAATGCCAAAAAAAAAGTAATCTAAAGGGGTGGGGTGGAAATTTTCATGCGTGTGTTTGGTGTACATTATTATTATTATTGTAATAATAATAATGAGAAGGAAAGAAAGACATGTAGGCCCCACAGTTTTCTTTTGAAAAGCAACACATCTGATTCTTTTCTTCATTTCCTTCATTCTTTCTTCATTCCTTCTCACGCGACAGAGAGCGAAAACAGAGACAGCGAGCGTGACGCCTGCAGCAGAGCTGAAGTAGAAGATAGGGCTCCATATTAGGATACTTCAGATGAGATTTTAAGTATTTTAAGATTAGGTAAGTGTTCTAAACATTTTTTTTAATTGTTTTTCCCTTTGAATTGCAGATGTTGATATTTTGAAAAACCTAGGGTTTGAAAGAGGGATGAATTTTGATGAGTAAATCTGATTATTGAGGTTGTTAGTAGTGTAATAAATATTCTAGAGTATTATTTTGTTGATAGAATTAGAATTTGAGGCATTTGAGTTTATCCCTAAATCCCTATGGGTAGATTTTTGGTTAAATCTGAAAATATAAATTGATTTGTTGATATTTAGATGATTATTTGAGATGAGAAATAAATTATTATGGCTATAGAATCATGATTCTAGGCTTGAAATCAAGTTTGCAATTTTTGGGTATTTTTATGTGCGAATTTTTGGAATAAAAAGGGAAATTTTGATATTAGAAAATTATTTGAATGAAATTATTATGAAGGAGACGATTGAACCTAGTAGATAGATTCAAATACATGAAATTAAATTTTAGAACTTAAGAGGCTAAGACTAAGGTCTTAAAAAAATGAAATAAAATAAAATAAATACTCAGGTGTTAGAGTTTGAGTGAAAATTGTGTTAATAATATTATTGACACATTGGGATATAATTAATTGTAGATTAATTTTCTTTTGACACCATTCAAGCTTTGGAAAGCTTTGGAAGTGTTGTAACTTGAGGGGTAACCTTTGACCTCTCAAAGGTTGAGGTAACCGGGGGAAATATATTTTATGCATTTGTATGTTAATTAATTATGTTGGTGAAATAAAAGAATATATATATATATATACATATATATGTCTAAATTTTGAAATGGTTATTTGTAATGCATGTGGCTTTGTTGAGACTCTATGACTTGTGATCAAGTTAATTATGACTTGGTGTGAGTAATGAGATTGATGGTTGTTGATTATGTGTACACTCTTGATTATGAATTGTGGATTATGCATAGTGATGAATTGTATGAACATGTTGAGTTTTATATGATGCTAATGTGGTTTTGTATGATAATATAAAAATTGATGCAAGAGGCATGATTGAAATATGATGATTCTTGATGTTTGTTGAGCAAAAAAGTTGATGAGCATGTGGGATAATTTTGAATTATATATATGAGTTTTTGAAATGCATTTTTTCATGAGTATGATCATATGACGGGAGTTCGCCTTAGTGAAGGAATTAGCGGTTATGCAAAATCCATATGGTACTTGGCTATTAACTAATAATCCTAGGGGTTATAGCCGCTACTTACCTTGTACGGTATTGTAGCATTGTTCCTATTAAGGGACTTGACCCCACTGGCCTACCTGGAGTTTTGCGTAGAGTTAGTTTTGGGTATGACACCCCATAGTGTGTGATTTAGGGGAAACCATGTTCATAAGTGAGTAAGGTAACCCTGACCTGGTAGCCCCTCATAATATGATTAAGGCCTTGGGTAGTCTCACCACATGGACGATCCCTTTCGGTTGTTGGCCCATAGATTTCATGTCAGAGGAAATAAGGGGGGATATAAGGAAGAGATCGGTCATGTATATTATTACTATCATGTCATTGGAGTGATTGATAGCTATGTTGAGAATATGATTATAATTGTAGAAATGAGAACATGTAGTAATTATGCGAATAATGTATATGTAGCTATTTGTGCAAATTTTGTACTTGACTTTATTCTTAAAATTATGTACATAAGTTAAATGTTAATGTGATTAACATGTTATTAATGTGATTGTTTGAATGGTCACCTTGATAAATTTATTGGCCACTTGCATTCATGATTAATTATCATGCATTTGTATAACTTAGAGATACCTTGATTACTGAGTGGTTGTATTCACCTTTCTCTTTTAACATATTATAGGAGCTAGCTCATCTCAGAAGAACAGAGAAAAGGAGCATTAGGCCAAGTGATAGTAATCACTTCTGTAGGCCTTTCTCTTTTTATTTTGATATGTGTATTTAGTTTATGATATTGCCAACTAGGATAATATATTCTTGATCCATTTGCATTATGAGTTTTGTATTGGGGGAAATGTATTTTGGGCCTTGGGGAATGTGATTTGATGCTTGTGCTATATTAATGGGCCAAAATATTTGTGCAAGTGGAAATAGTTAATATTGCCTAATTTGAGAACTTGAATGTTGTTATGGTCTCCCCTTGTGTTTTTTATGTCCAAGGGTGAGCAGTTGATATTAATTATATGCGAATAAAAGGAAAATTCATGTATATGATAGGCTATTGATGAATAGATGATATATAGAGTATGATGATTAGGTAATAGTCATTGTGATAAATGTAATTGAGACCTTGACCCCCCGCTGCCAGTTATGGAAGGGTTTGAGTGGCCAAGTATTATGTCGTAAATATGTATATATGTATTGTAGAGTAAGGCATAGAGAGAAAATAAAAAGGGAAGCTCTTCTTCCATGTTGATGTGTTTCCTTTATCATGCTTCCGCATAAGTCTAATTGAATGATATGAGTTTTTGGAATATTTTAAAGATTTGGGATCTCTTTATATTGAATTGTTTGTAAAAATATATATTAAGAATTTATTTAGATTAATCTCTTATAGGATAATCCTTTTGGGTTAGTCTTTGATTTATTATAGTTAGATTGATGAATAAGTCCTAATTTAAGATGCCCCTTTACACGTTCAATTTGTCTATTAGTCTGTGGATGGTAAGAGGTACTAAACCTCAACTTGGTATCTATTGTCTTCTACAGCGCTCCCTAAAACCTCAAAGTAAATTGAGGATCTCTATTTGACATTATATCCTTGGGTACACCGTGCAGTCTCACTACAACTCATATACTTCTGCATACCTTTCCACATCATAGGTGGCCTTAATTGGCAAGAAATATACTAGCTTGGTCAATCGATCTACAATAACCCATACAGAGTCATATCTTGCCTGAATTTTCGGTAGACTAGATACAAAGTTCATTGAAATGCTATTCCACTTCTACTAGGGAATCTCCAGAGGTTGTAGCATCTTAGTCAATCTTTGATGCTTGATTTTCGCTTTTTGACATGTGAGACACCGGTTCACAAACTCAGTAACATCTTATTTCATGCCTTGTCACTATCAATGCTTCTTTATGTCATGGTACATCTTGGTCACATCAGGATGCATCATGTATCTACTCCGACGAGCTTCTTCTAATAGTCTCCTTCTGATATCCTCACTCGTTGGTATACAAATTCGGTCTTTATACAAGATGAACCCATCATCACTGAAGTAAAACAAAGTAGTACGCCCTTCCTCTATATCCTCTTGCGTAGTTGTAAAAAATGTGTCCCTCTTTTGACCTTTTTGAATCTCTTTCCAAAACTCATTGAAAATAGTGGTTGAGTGAACTGCATTCAGAGTATAATCTGATGCCTCAAGCTACACCTCTAGCAAAGGCAACAACAATTGATGTTCTTGAACCATCAATTCAGCCACATGTAATGATTTTTAACTCAAAGCATCAACCACTACATTGGCTTTCCCTGGATGATACTTAAACTTAAAGTTGTAATCTTTTAGGAACTTCATCCATCGCCTTTGCCTCATATTGAGCTCTTTTTGATGCACAAGATACTTCAAACTCTTGTGATCACTGCACACATTAAACTTTATACTGTTGAGATAATGTCGCTAAATCTTGAGAGCAAATACTACAATTGCTAACTCCAAGTCATGCATCGGATAACTCTCCTCATGAGGTCACAACTATCTAGATGCATACGCCACAAATCGGTCTTCTTGCATTAACACACACCTCAGACCTTTCAAAGAAGCATCTGTGTAAACTTCGTAAGGTAATTGTGGATTGGGAATTATCAACACTAGTCTGAGGTTAGGTTTTCCTTAAGCTTCACAAAAGCAGCTTCACACTAATCAACCCAAATGAAAGGTTGATCGTTCCTCGTCAATCAAGTCAAAGAAACAGTAATATGTGAAAATCCTTAAATGAACCTTCTGTAATAGCTTGTTAAGCCCAGAAAGCTCCTCACCTCAGTCATTAAACTTAGTCATTCCCATTGTAAGACTTCATCCAATTTGTGAGGATCTACTGAAATATCCTTAGTTGACAGCATATGTTCGAGAAATTTTACCTCGTAGTCAAAATTCACACTTACTCAACTTGGCATATAAGTAGTTATCTCTCAGAATCCTTAATACAGTTCTCAAATGCCTTGCATGCTTTTCTTCATCCTTAGAGTATATCAGTATGCCATCTAAAAACATGACAACAAACTGATCTAAGAAGGGACGGAATATATAGTTCATGTAATCCATGAAAACTATAAGTGCATTTGTTAACCTGAATGGCATCACAAAAACTCAAAGTGACTGTATCGAGTACAAAATATTGTCTTGGGCACATACTTTGAATTTACTCTCAACTGATGGTACCTAGATTGCAAATCAATCTTAGAAAACACTGAAGCTCCCACTAGCTGATTGAGCAAATCATCTATTCTTGGAATGGATACTTGTTCTTTATTGTCACCTTATTCAGTTGCCTATAATCGATATACAATCATAGGTTGCCATCCTTCTTTTTCACAAACAGGACTGGCGAACCCTATGGTGACACATTATGGCATATGAAACCCTTCTCTAGCAACTCTTCAAGCTGCTTCTTAAGCTCTACCAATACAAAAGGAGCCATTCTATATGGTGCTTTTGAAATCGGCTCGGTACAGTTGCCAAATCAATAGAGAATTCTACTTCTCATTCCAGTGGCAAACCTGATACCTCATCCGTAAACACTTCTGGAAACTTATTCACCACTTGAATCTTATCAATATTGTCACTATTGCCACTGCCTTCCATCATAAAGAAAACTGCATAGGCTTGACAACTTTTAGAAACCAACCTCTCAACTTGTACTACTGATAACAATCTTAGCTGATTGGCGATTATTATGGAAACCATAGTAGGTGTCACATGAATTGGTAGTAATACCATCTTCTTGGCGCAATCCAAGGTAGCATTATTTCCTACCAACTAGTCCATTCCAATAATAACATCTGATCCTTGCATAGGAATCAGGATCAGATCTATCACCAAAGTTCTACCCTTAAAGCATAACTCAACTCTTTTACATACCTTACTAGTCTTATCCAGTAGTCCAAAGGGTGTAGACAATTTAACAATATAGGGCAATTCATGCATAGGCAAATCTAACTTCTCTACACAATCATGCGATACAAATGAATGAGTAGCTCTCGAATCAAATAGAATCTCAACTTTTTGCTCGCAAATAGAAATTGTGCCTATGATCAAATTCGGCACTGTTTGAGCCTCCTCTCGAGAAATAGTGTAAACTAGTCTTAGCAATGCTAGCCACTGCTCAAAAGCTCCCCCTCAATTCTTGAGGCAATCCCTCACAAAATGACCCATACCACCACAGATGTAGTATGCCTAACACATTTTAGGATGATTTTGCTTGCAAATCGTGCACATAGGTGAGCACGTAGTGCTCACACGAGAAGTAAGGGCAGTAGTAGTCTGACCCGATTGCTGTGGAGTTCTAGAATCTCTAGCCCTATTAAACCTTTTGCCCTAGCCAATTACTCCTCGAGATTGTGCTCCTTTATTGAATATCCTCGTGCCCGAGGATCCAGAACCATTGGCACCAAAACTTCTTCTCTTTGATACCCCTCCAGTTGGGCCTAATGCAATGGAAAACTACTCATAGTTATCTCTTCTCTTCTTAACATCTGCCTCTCGACCTCGCCTCGCAGCTATTCAAAATCGGTTGCAAGTTTCCTCGTATGTAGCTTCTCCTAACAAGGCAATTTGCCTTCTATACTCAGGGGGCATCTTTTCTTTCAACTCTTGGCTCTCTATTTGCTATCATCTTTCTCATGTAGATAAGTTACAAATTTAGAAAGCTGGTTGAACTTCCTCATAAATGACTCCTCATCCAACTCTCCTTACTACAAAGTATAGAATTTCACTTCTTTCTCATCTCTAAAAGTCACAGGGAAGTGATAGTTAAAGAATCTCACTTTGAACTGCTCCCAATTGAGCCGACTACCACTCGAGGGTCTTATCGAATGCCACTAATGTTTGGCATCCTCAATCAACTACACAATAGCCAATGCCACTTATTGCTCAGAGGAACATAAAGTAACCTAAAAAATGGTCTCCATCTTCTTGATCCAGTTCTTAACATCTCCCTCTTTTATGTTGCCATCAAAAGTTGGCGGATTCAATCGTAAAAAAGTCCTCTAGACTCAGTCTATGGGAATCTGTTGATCTTCCTTATTGGTCATTGGTCTACTCCCTACAACATGGGAGGTCACTGGCCCACTAAGCTGTATCTCAAGTTGCTGCTCAGTTTTTACTCTCTCTTCACCCTTAAGGCTTGCCTCTTGCTCTAGCCTTGGCTCCTTGTAATCCCTATTACGGTTCAGGGCATCATGGCTTGCTAGACTTCTCTGAATGTTCAGCATGACTTCTAGTATATGTGCCATGATAGGGTCATTACCATGAGGTTATTCCAGTGGGAGCTTCAAATCTTGCATATCTTAGGCATGCTGAGCCCGTGTGCGTCGTGGAACTCTACCACGTTGTCTTATAGCTCTATAGCAATGCAACAATATAGCTACAGTAGCTTCACATACCTTTTTTCCCTCCTTTAGAGTAAAGGTAGAAAAAGTCAGTAAATAGGTGTTAGAGGCTAAAAAAGAGTAATGAATATATAAAAGTTGCCAACTAATGCAATGCAAGGTCCAAATAGATCAAAACCATAAAAAACTGATACCAAACTGTAAAGTCTTTAGGGCCGAACTATAAAGTCCCATCTCAATCTGTGCTTTACCTTTTTACCACATAATCAATAAGTCCAAAATCAGAGTAATAGCCCTTAATTTGTTTTCAAAATCGTGGGATCCTGACTTCTTAAAACATATATTCAAATAATAGGGCTAATGAAAGCATGAACCCATTTAAAAGACTTAAAATATCACAATTTCCCAACCTAAAAAATGGGCTATACGCCATGGCGTGCAGCATGTGTGCCGTGACATACTTGCCTTGTTTCATATTGCGTCATGCACTGTGGCGCGCCTGTCTAAAATTTTGTTGTCATTTTGACAACAAAAATGATGAACTTTCAGCGTGTGCCATTTTCACATCCGATATTCGATTGGAATGATTCAAGCATCCACATGAAGCTTACGATATGTACTAGTTAATGGAATAATTTTGGACTCGATATGACAATCTGATCTAAAATTAGACACTCAGGTATAAAAAGTCACTTTTCTTCCAAAAACGCACACCCTAAGTGCTCAATTCGCATTTCTTGTTCCATTAGACCACTTTGGGCCTTAAATTAAGTCCAAAAGGACCACATACACCTGATTAACATTATATATATTAAATATCACATCAATAGCCCATTTTGGCTTCTCAAAACCACATTACACACTTATGGTTTTATATGAAAAAAATCACATATATAGCACAAATTCATATATGAAACTAGACTTGTTCTACTTTCCATCCTCCAATTCTCACAAATAGAGCTTTGTCTCACCATATGGTCGGAAATCACATATGTACTCGATTCTTCTAAATGGGGCTCCACCTCATCATTTGTATCAAGTTCTTACCATTTGTGTTAAGTTCTCATACAATTAACACAATTCGCATTCAATTCACAATCATCACATATATATACTAGTGTAACAAGTTATAAAATCACACGGTTGGTTGTTCGCATTTGAGTTTACCCATGCACCTTCCTCAGGGCCACCTTAGCAAAATGCATCAAATATACATATATACAAGCAAGTTTCACAATACCATCCACTTTCTCATATTCACATACAAATATGCATCTTAGTTGGCAACTTAATTCTATCAACACATTTATACATTCATATCTACTTATAGGGAGTCATATCACTATCAATTGAGGCTACTCTTTTCTTGCTTTCTTTTCCAGCCTTTTCAATCTCTCTTTACCTATGTTCAAAAGTAATGGAGTGAGACATACATCCTAGTAACTCGAAGGTAATCTCAACTATCGGTTAGTAAATAAAATCATAAACAAGCGATGAAGTAGCATGAGTAATGGTAAAAGCAATAATATATGCATATATAGGAATTCATTTTCATCAATATCGTTATACTCATGCAAAGCAGTCCTAGTTCCCCCCGGTAGAGTAAACTCTACCCCTGGACCAGGCCTTCCAGTCACCAGGAATAGAGCCCATCATACCACTGCTCAGACTAGGTCATTTTCATATAGGTGGTCTTCTAGGTTGATCATGGTAGAGCCCAGATTTATGCTCTGGATCATCAGGACTTCCTAGTTTTATATAAAGTAGGATGACAACCCTTATCCTAGTTTAAGGTAACCTCGTGGATCATTCAATCTCCTAGGTTTGTCATGGCAAAGTCAAGCTTTATGCTCTGGATCATTAGGATTTCTTCTCTAGGTCTATCTTAGTAGAGTCAAGCTCTACGCTCTGGATCATCAGGACTTCCTGGACCTCCTCATAATAAGGCCGCATTTCCCCTTACCATAATTTAGGGTATATCTTGTGGATGCTATGCATGTCAGTGCACGTGTTACTTCTCAAATTTATTTCAATCAATACTCGCACATCTACATACATATACTTTCACAATATTGCTATTCTATCAATTCACAATACAATGCATGTAGTTATATTAAAATACTTGCAAACAATTTCATAAACAAACAAGTAAAAGGCTTACTCTAGTTAATAGTAACCCTTGCGACTAAGGGTTACCAATCATACTAAGCTTTTAAGGGCACAGATTCTCACGAGTAACTTCAAATGTGCTCAATCCACATAACACAGTGTCTCTCAGTCAATTATCGACACAATTCATAGGCATTGATTTCAGCTAAACAAAATCCTTTAACACATAAAATAGTTCAATTGAACCCTTTTCAATTTACTTATCTATTATTTATGGTCATTAGCCCTATAAGCTACTCAAACAATCATAACAATTTCCGAACACACTTATCCACCCAAATTCACCCTATTTACCAAACTTTTAGGTCATTTTGAGCCTAAATGCTTAAAACTCAACTGTTCAACTCCATATTGGTCAAAATCTTAGTTCTATATTCGATATCTCGTTTTAACCCTTTCTTTTAGATTACAATGCCTCCTAATCTCATGGTTTGATTTCTCAACTTATGAAATTCAATGAAAAAGAGGTAGAATTGAAGCTTAGGATTGCGTGATGCTTACCTAGCAAGTAATCAATCGAAGCAGACTCCTGAGCTCCAGATAATACTTGCCCTAGTAGAGATGTCTTCCTCTTGCTCTTCAAACGCTTCTCCAGCCTCCTCCCTTTTATTTTCATAAGCTATTCACATAAGCTTTAAGTGATTTTTGGATGGTGCGCCGCGGCACGTGGCACAGTGAGAAAATTCTTACTTGTGCTCATAGGTTCTGTCTTGAATTACCTCTCTATCCTTTTATCCTATCAATGCAACACCCAAACAACACAAAATATCAACTCCATACTTAAACCACAATCAATTTCCTAATTATTAATTTACCCTTGATTAGCAACTAGTTCTTGGGATTGAAATTCAGGATGTTACACGTACTCAAGTATAATTCATTTAATTTGAATGGATGACTTTGGATTTAATTTGTATGTTTAAAGTTTTGCATTTTGAGCTAGATTCTCTTGATATTTTTGTTGATTGGAAAATGACTACCTTTCATACATTTTATGCCCCTTATTGTAAAGTACCTAAACAAAACTATACTTATGCTAAGGAAAGATTATGATTACAAATAGGCAATTGTAACAATTATAATTTCTAGTTCTTTTGATTTGATGGAGTTGCAAAAGATAGTTATTTTCTTGGTAGATACTCTACTTAGCTCAACTTAGTTGTGTGAATTGCTAGAATATAAATAATTCACAATAACCATATTATGTACAAACATTTGAAGAATACAAATGTTTTCCTTGTAGGTTGTGGCATATGGGGACCGGGCTAGATGAGCACACACTCAAGCATGAAGGTATTTGTGTTGTCTCTTTACCCACTACCATGGTAAAGTGTATTTCTCTGTAGCTTGCATTTGACACTTTTCTTCTTGACAACTTAATTAGTTTATTTGCAATAATTCCTCTTTTGATTGTAAGGAATCTAATGGCTTGTAGACATGAATAAATAGAGGTGGAGAGGTGACCTAATGGATAGATATTGGATGTGGCAAACTTGATAGATTTCACTTTCGAAGAACTAAAGGTAGCAACTAGAAATTTCAGAGCTAAATCTATATTAGGAGAGAGGCTTTGGTAGGGTGTACAAGGATTGGCTTAAAGGGATTATATTGTGTACTTTAAATTTGGCAGGGATTTTAATGTGGCAAACTTATATTATATTGTGTACTTTAAATTTCTTATACAGTTATTGTTTATGGATTGAATTATTTGTTAATAAAAATTTCACTTGCGAGTCAATTGCTTGATTGAATTGGATTTATTTATAACCAATTTGCAATTCAATGAGGAAATAATGAGGAAATTATTTCTCTCCAATTAAACCAATTTTGAGGAAATAGTGAGGATTTAGTTCCTTACTAATTTGTTACCAAGGAAAAAGGCCTTGCTATTTTGTTACTAATAATAAAATAATAAAATTTATTAGCGAGGAAATTGCGATGACAATCTAAATGGTCATGATAAAAATATAAGATTAGTGAGGAAATTATGGTCTCGCTACTATTAGTGAGGAAATTAGGTCCTTACTAATCTCTTGCTAAATTATTGAGGAAAACATTATTCTTTGCTAATTATTAGTGACCCATCATTTAGCTACAAATTTAGTGAGGAAATAATGAGAAAATTATTTCCTCACTAAATCATGATTATTGAGGAATAAGTCATATTTTATGATGAATATGATCCTTGCTAAATCCTAATTTATCATCCTGATGAATAGAATCCAACATGTCCTGAAAAGGATTTCAAATTTTTCACACAAGTAGGTATGGTAATGAAGCAGTCACATCAACCTTAGCCCTATCATCTCTATGCCCTTTGAAGAAGTCAAATGACCCAAGACAATGCTCTTGTCGATCATAAAATGACATTTTTCAAAGTTAAGCATAAGCTTCTTTTCACCTATCAAGCACTTTATCTAAAGAATGCAAGCATGACTCAAAAGACTCGCCATATACTATGCAATCATCCATAAAAACCTCTACACTATTTTTAATGAAATCACAAAAGATAGACATCATGCATCTTTGGAAAGTTTCAGGTGCATTACATAGACTAAAAGGCAGCCTCCTATAAGCAAAAGTACTAAAGGGGCATGTAAAAGTGGTATTGTCTTGATCATTAAGAGCTATGGGAATTTGAAAGTATCCACTAAAACTATCAAGGAAGCAATAATGAGACTTAGAAGCCAACCTCTTAAGTATTTGATCACTAAAAGGCAATGAAAAATGGTCCTTCCTAGTCATATTATCAAGCTTCCTATAATCAATGTACACTCTCCAAGAATTTTGAAGTCTAGTAGGGATAAGCTCTCCTTTCTCATTTTTAATCACAGTAATTCATCCCTTTTTAGGGACAACTTAAGTTGGAGATACCCACTCATTGTCAACTATGGGGTATATGATCCTAGCACTAAGCAACTTAACTACCTCTTTCTTTAAAACATCTAAAATTAATGGGTTAAGTATCCTTTGTAGTTGCCTGGTGTGTTTAGCATTGTCCTTTAGAAAAATTTTATAAGTTCATACAATAGGGTATATTCTAGGAATATCAACTAAAGTCCAACCAATAACATGCCTATTCTTTCTTAAAACATCAAGCAATGCACTTTCTTCTTTAAGAGATAGAGAGTTAGAAATTATTACTGAAAGCTTCTTAGGAGATATGCATATTTGAGATTGGATGGCAAAGGCTTCAACGCGAAGGTAGATGGCTCCACACAAGAAAGAATGACTTTCTTCAAGTCCAACTTGGGTGTAGAACTCATAGCCCCCTTGCTAAATTTAGGCTCCTTAATTGCTTTTTCTCTTTTTCAACCCTCACAGCGCCTCACTTTTTATTCAACTTATCTTCAAGTGCCTAAACTATAGCCACAGCCTTGGATTTTGGAAGTATAGAATTTTCTTCCAATAGCTTTGGTCTCAATGACATTAGTACCTACAACACAAGAAAATATACCCTTCTCAAGCATTTCAAGTTTAAGAATAGTAGAGATTTCAAACTCATCAACAAATCATGAGAAGAAGTAGTTGCATCATTCAAACATGAAGTTAAATTCAATCCTTCTATTCTCTTATACCCACTATCTCTTGTTGAATGGGTTAATCGCACACTTATCAAAATAATAATAGTTCTAACCCTAATGTAATATAGGGTCAACCTTAGGTCATCTCCCTAGTGAGTGTTTCAATTTAATTATGAAGTTATTTAGTGAACAAATTACCTATAAGTTGAAGAGTTTAGCCACTAAATAATGAACAAAAATGCTAAAACCTAGACTAAAGAATGAGTGAAGTGAATACCCTTTAATAAAGTGGAGCCCTAGAGTTTAGATAGTAGAAAAATCATTACCTATCTTATTAATTGTGGATTTAGTGATTGATTTCTCTTCTTGGCCTCTTAGTAGTTCCTTATGAAGACTATCTTAAAAAACTTGATCTAGCTAGTTTAATTCCCTAAGTCATCACTAATATCCTTAGGTTCTTTCCCTAGTTTGATTTTAGAATGACTAAGTGTTTAGGTTAGACAGACCCTAGTGAAACCATGGCACATCAATGGTTAGATTGAACCCTAAGACTATGGTAGTTCTCTCTAATATTTTAACCTTACTCACAAGACTATATAAGAGCAAAGAAAAAGAATCATCAATAGAAAAACACAAGATTATGTATATTTCTAGAGATGGCTGAATCAACCAAACAAGTATCTCTCATTACTTCAAAATGAATTCCAATTAGAATTACAAACCAGTTATAGAATAACCCTAGACTAAAGTGTTAAACATCAAATTAAATAAGAGAAATGAAGTGAATTAGAAAGTCTTATCCATTAGAAGCCTATTGATTCATCCTCCGTCCATCTTCCCTCTAGGATCCCTTGAGAAATCTAGCAATCCATCATTATCTTCAAAGCTTCCAAATTGAGAACCAAAGTGGCTAAACCCTTAATCTCCTTCCAATGATGATATTAGCCTTCAATCCTTGATTTTATTAGAGTGTTTGGATGAGATTAGAGAGAAAGGAGAAGAATGAATGTGATTTTGTGTGATTTAGATGAGAAATGAGAGAGATATGGGTAATTGATTGGATGGAAAAATTGAAAAACAAGTGAGAAAGTGAGAGAAAATGTTTGAAGATAGAAAAAGGAGTGAGAGATATGAATTGCACAAAATTGGTTAATAGAAAATGAGAGAAAAGAGATAGAAACTTGCAAAGGGTTGTGGTTTTCAACTAATTATCCACTTAGCCAAAACTACTTGTGAATTTGGAAGAAAATTGATGACAATTCCAATGTGGAATACAATGCATTATTCCAAGCCTAATTTGGACCTCTCCAAATCTGATAATGTCATGCCTCTTTTTCCATTTAAAAGCTCTATTTGATTGCTTTGAATTATGTCTTCATTTGTCACATTAATTCACCTAGGTTACAATTAAATCAAATAATCATAACGTAACGTTTATTTAATTAGACTAAGATAAATTCATTCAAAGTATTAAAATTACTAAGGAAAAATGAATATGAAAGCCTCACAAGACATAAATGTAGACAAGCATGCACTTGAACTAAAGTCAAAGGCTAATTGAAAACCATTAGGGAGACAATGTTAAAAAGTTGTCTTTTCTTAATAACTCTCAACCTAAGATGAATATATAAAAAATAATTTGAGAAATCATTTGAGCCCATTAAAAACCATAAATTTCTAGCTTAACCCTACTTTGGTGAAAAAGTGAATTTTATGACCAAAATGCCCTTTATGCATGTAATTGAACAATTAGGCAAATTTACACTAAGAATATGTAATGAATGCATATGGAGACTTTTAATGTGTATAAAATGGTCCAAATAAGTTCTTGTAAGGCTAAATGGAGATATGGTCATTAATACAAGAAAGGAGGGTATACAGGCAAGAAGGCACACGAGGCTGCTGAAATGATTGTAAGTAATATTTAATTTTTTTAATTCAATTATTCATTATGATTTTTTCTGTTTATTATATGAGGCTCTTAAGGAACAACAAGATCAAGGATCCTTTGCTCCAGAGGGTAGAAATGACATCTTGGTGGTTGCTACAAGCAAATCAGAGCATTCGGGGTGTGCTAGAGGTGTTGAATTTGGTGTGGGAATCACATATTACTTTGAAGTACCTGCATGCTCTAGTAGCCCGAGTATTATTATGAGAGAGGAGTTGGAAATTGTAATGACAAATATAAGGCAACAAGTAATGAAGGATGTCGAAGCTTCATTTGAAGCCTGCTTGGAAGTCTGCTTGGAAGCCCAACTTGCAAAAATGAAAGAGGAGATGATGACCTTTATGACCTGACAACAAGAGACAACTACTGATGCACCTCATACACAGTCTCTTAGATTTCATAGCACGAAAGATATTAATGTTCTTGGACGTGTGTCAGAGGGCCCTTTAGTGGGAAATACTAATGAACTTTGTAAGCTATATCTAAAGGACCTTGATAGATGTTTGGTCACTCTTGGTAGCGTTCACACTTCGAGACAAACTATCCACCATAGGCAAATGCAAGAAGATCATGTGAGAGTGGTGGTAGAAGATGTAAAAGTACTAGAGGTACTCGTTCCATGCCCTCCCTCCTGATGAGATGAAGACTATGTCTGAAGCTGTTAGTACTTTTACCATATGACTTATGAAATTTGTGAATATAGTTCAAGTTGTGATATGTTTTATTAAATATTTCATGCATTTTATTAAATATTTCTTTCTCATCATTTTTTTATTAACTATCTCTTACCTTTTTAGCTTATCCTGCCGAAACTTCCATAGCCACTATTGCAACCACAGCCACCGCAGTTAACTCCTCTCCAATAAATGATTTTACTAGCCTACAATAAATCCATTGGGAATGGTGATTGTTCTTTGATAAAGGATATTTTTTTTTTATCAATTCTTAATATTATTTTTAATTACAATTAAGGACCAAGATCTATCATTTGAATTTCAATAATATGAGGTCTTAAATGTAATACAGGGTCTTTTATATGATCCTTAATTGACATTTTCTCTTTTACTAGTTAACTAACTAATTAAGTAAGTTATTATGTTTGTTTAATGACGAATAACAGGACATGTGAGTGAGATTGGACTACGAATTGAAAAAAAAAAAACAAGAAGCACAATTCTACAAATCGTTCCTATGAGAAAATGATATTAAAAATATCCATTCAAATTTGGGGCCAATCAATAACTCATCATAACTATATAAAATGATCTACCACCACTAAAATATGACAAAATTATTGATGGAAGCTTTGATTTATTGACAAAAAAAAAATTGCAAATCCCATTGCAAATTCGATCGGTCAGTCAATCCGGCCATCACTAATTTTTTCGGATTGCGAATTTGATATTATAGTGATGGCAATTATGATGGCTTCCTTGCATTGGAATTTTCAAACAGTCGATCTGTATAGCAATTTTTCAAGGATCGTTATCGTTAACTTGATGAGCATATCAACTGAATGGAACTTAATAAAAGATAAAAGCATACTTCATATAAAAAGAAATCAAAATACAGCACATTGCCTCTCAAGTCTTCTCACTCCTGCTGCTAATCTACTCGTGTATTGCAAAGTGAGAGATGCGAGGTGCCAAACATATAAGTCGTTAGTATTTAAGAGAGACGTTGTTATGTTCTACTTGAGACCGTGAAGACCAAATTATTATTTTACATATGCTTGTAAATTGATGGGGGAGGCAACAGAGGCTCGTAAATAGCAAGTTTGTTGATATGTGGAAACCGTTGTATGGGAGACTCTCCAAATTTTGGGTTTCTAAATGGGTGACTTGTTAACTGATGATTTTTGTACTGGGGGCATGTAAATGGGTGGCTGATTGTAAATGGGAGGCTCATAAATTGGTGGCTTTTCTGTTGGTGAGTTGGAAATGGGAGGCTTATAGATGGGAGGTTTCTCTAGTGGGGGTTTAAAACTAGGAGGCTCATAAATTGGTGGCTTTTCTATTGGAGGCTTTTAAATTAGTGGTTTTTCAACTGGGGTTGTCCAAATTGGGGGCTCATAAATTGGAGGTTTTTCTATTGGAGGTTGGTAGACTGGTGGCTTTTCTATTGGAGGCTTGTAAATGGGTGGTTTTTTCATTGGAGGCTTGTAGATTGGTGGTTTCTCTATGGGAGGCTTGTAAATGGGTGGTTTCTCAATTGGGGGCTTGTAAATTGGCGGCTTCTCAAGAGGAGGCTTGTAAAAGGGTGGTTTCTCAATTGGGGGCTTGTAAATAGGAGGTTGATATACTTGTGGCTTCTCTACGGGAGGCTTGTAAATTGGTGGTTTTTCAATTGGAGGCTTGTAAATTGGTGGCTTCTCAATAGGAGGCTCGTAAATGGGTGGTTTTTCAATTGGAAGCTTATACATTGGTGGTTTCTCTATGGGAGGCTTGTAAATGGGTGGTTTCTCAATTGGAGGCTTGTAGATTGGCGGCTTCTCAAGAGGAGGCTTGTAAAAGGGTGGTTTCTCAATTGGGGGCTTGTAAATAGGAGGTTGATACACTGGTGGCTTCTCTACGGGAGGCTTGTAAATGGGTGTTTTCTCAATTGGAGGTTTATAGACTGGCGGATTTTCAATAGGAGGCTCGTAAATGGGTGGTTTCTCAATTGGGGGCTTATAAATAGGAGGCTGGTAGATTGGCGGTTTCTCTATGGGAGGCTTGTAAATAGGTGGTTTCTCAACTGGAGGCTTGTAGATTGGCGGGCTTTCAATTGGAGGCTCGTAAAAGGGTGGTTTTTCAATCGGGGGCTTGTAAATAGGAGGTTGGTAGATTGGTGGCTTCTCTATGGGAGGCTTGTAAATGGGTGGTTTCTCAATTAGAGGCTTGTAAACTAGCGGGCTTTCAATTGGAGGTTCATAAATGGGTGGTTTTTCAATTGGCGGCTTGTAAATAGGAGGTTGGTAGACTGGCGGCTTCTCTATGAGAGGCTTGTAAATGAGTGGTTTCTCGATTGGGGGCTTGTAAATAGTAGGCTCGTAGATTGGTGGCTTCTCTATAGGAGGTTTGTGATTGAGTGGTTTATAAATTGGTGGTTTCTCAATGGGGGGATTCTGTACAGGGGGCTCATATACTGGTGGACTGAAGAAATGGGCAAACCCTGAAGGGGTGAGTAGTGCAAACAGCAAGACGAGAAGGAACAAGGAAGCCATGATATAACTTATTTAATTGGCGTTGTAATGATGCAACTGAAATAGATTTTATACTGAAAAAGCCAAGCAACTCCGTGACTGACTCACAAGCAGGCTATCTATCTTATTAATGATTTTAGTTTACACTTTACAGTTAATGCCATGTCAAACGTATACATGCAAAAGCTATTGCTCATTTAAATGCCGTTTTTTTTAGTTGAGATGTAGGATTGCTAACGCTCTCATTTATGGTTCATCAAAATCACGGGTAAGTTTGGGCTGTCTTGCAGATCTGGTAATTTGAAAAGTTAATTAATTAATTAATTTCGCTTTAAAACGTCTACTATTTACTTAGGTAAGTAAATATATGAAGGAAATTAATCCCCTTTCCCTTTTATACGACATATTTAACTACTTTGAACATACTATGATATATAATTAATTAAAATTATCTGTTAATTTTATAATTACCCATCTTTTCTGAAGATAAACCCCTTAATCAAAATACACATGTGAATTAACACCCTATTTTGTCCAGGCTCTAATAAGAATAAGAAAAATAAATTAAAATAATAATTATAAAATAAATAAATGATATGATAAATTAGTTAAAATAAATAAATAAATGATATCATGAAAAAATAAAAATTATGGGAAATAGAAGATATTTTGCGATAGGAAGCTAAATAAATAAACAGAAAAAATTAAAAAAAATCTTAATTAGAGATATAAGGATAATAATAGAAGTACGAAAATAGTAAATAAATGATTTCAATATAATTAATGAGATTATAATTGAAATCTAATATTCAATAGTAATATGCAACTCATAATACATGAAATATATAACAATAAGAATGTGAAGACGATATATAACAATGGAGATATCAAAATGACAATATATGGTGATAATAATAACAAAATGGAATTTAGAAGTTGATTTAAGGAAGACTCAGGTTGTTGGGTAGTTAAATATATGATTTGGTGTGAAGTTTCACTGTACCTAACCCTATAATTAGGGTAATATTATATGTTTAAATTATGTGTAGATTGTGGTGTAGAAGGTGTTGGTGGTGAGGAACCATCTATATGGGAAATATTTTGTTAAGGCATCGAGACAACCTCTACTAATTTGTTGTTGTATCTGTTATGTAATTGATTGTGTGCCTATGTTTTGTTGAAAATATTTGTTTGGAATAAAATAGGATAATGTGTATTTTAATTTATGAAAATATTTTCAAGTGGGATGAAAGATGTATATGTATATGTTGTATAGAAATAATATGTTTGAAAGTATGATTAATTGTTTGGAAATTATACCTTGTGATTTAATTGTATGCATGACTTGTTCAGGTTTGAAAGAAACGTTTAGGGAAAATGTTTTTAATTGTTTGGTGCCACATGATATGCCCCTCATTAGATTTAATGAGTAGTTTGTTAGGGCTTGGACTAACCTATCTTTGGCCAAGTTAGTTAGTGCCAAGTGTGGACAGAGGTCCAGAGAAAGGAGGAAATAAGGTGGGCGGTCATGCATATTGTTTGGACTTGTTTTGTATTATTTGGAACATGTTTGAAATTGTTTTCTATGGCTCACTTAGTAATCACATGATTACTTACATTGCATACATGATTGCATTTTAGTATTGGTTATTAAGATTTTCGAGTCTCATTCCCTGTTGTTAACATTTTTATAGGGAAAAAATCATATTTGATATGGGAAAAATATATTTTTTTCTCATATTTTCTATGTTTTCTCTTAAAATGATTCTAGAGAAGAATGCTATTAGTATTGACTAGTCACATGATTATTTAAATAAGCAATGGATGGCCATTGCTTTATGTTATGTTGATAGGGAATGAAGTATTATTGAGCGTTTTACAAGTGTAGCCCATGTTATAAAGATTACAAACATTGTTCTTTTAATTCCACAATTGAGAAATAGTTATTTAAATGAGGGTTAAGCATATCAAGTATTCATGGGCAAGGTTATGATGGTGCCAACAATTTGCAGCGTGAATTATCCAGTCTACAAATTCTAATTTTATAAGTAAATTCACAAGCATTTTATGTGCAATATTTTTCTCATCAACTACAACTTACATTAATTGTTGTAGCAACAAAAAATCATATTCAAGTTGCTGCATTTTTCAATTTAGCATCTACTAGATAAAATGTTCTTGGGAGTCCTTGTAATTTTTTTGACATGATTCATGAAACAGAAAATAGCAGAAATGAAGGAGACAATGGAACTAAAAGATATGGATTCTACGCTAAGGTAAGTCATATATTAGTAAAAGAAATACAAGCATGGCGTCACGCGCGTATGCATGTGATGTGGAAAGATATGATGGTCCCGATGAGGATGACATGACACGACATTGCTCGCAGGTGGGAATGGATTGAAGGAAATAAAACTTCATTCTAATATGTCAAAAAAAATTTTTCATAAAATTTTCTTAAAATAATTCAAGAGAAATAGCTTCTCACAGAAAATTTTAAGAGAAAAAAATTTTCCATTGAATTTTTTTTGCTTAATTTTTTTTTCTTTTGAGAGAAAATCTAAGAGAAATTTCTTTGTTTCTCTAAAATTTTTGAAATTTTCACTTAGAATAATTCTTGAGAAAAATGCTATTAGTTATGATGAGTCACATGATTATTCAAATAAGAAATAAATGTTGTTGCTTTACGTTATGCTTACAGGGAAGGAAGTACTGTTGAGGGTTTTACTAATATAGACCATGTTTCAAAGATTACTAACATTGTCCTTTAAATTCCACAATTGACAAATTGTGATTTAAATAAGGGTGAAGCATATCAGGTATTGATGGGCAAGGTTATGATGGCGCCAGCAATTTGTAGCGTGAATTTTGTAGTCTTAAAAGTATAATTTTATAGGTGAAGCCATAAGCATTTTATGTGCATTACTTTTCTCATCAACTATAACATAGGTTAATTGTTGTGCTATTTAAAAACAATAATCAGGTTGCCGCAATTTTCAATTTAGCATCTACCAAATCAAATGTTCTATCAATACATTGCCTACAGGGGGGAAGGGATTGGAGGAAATAAAACTTGGTACAAATACATCACAAAAATTTCTCAAGAAATTTCTCTAAAACTATCCAGAGAGAAGTTCTAGCATATTATTCAAATTAAATCATTTTGTCTTTGGTAATAGTTTCTCATAAAAAATTTCAAGATAAAAAAATTTCGTTCGAGTTTTTTCTTTCTTAATTTTCTATTTTTGAGAGAAAATCCAAGAGAAATCTCTTCTCCCTCAAATTTTCAAAGTTTTCATCTAGAATAATTCTATAGAAAGATGCTATTGGTCATGACAAGTCACGTGATTGTTCAAATAAGTAATAGATGCGGCTGCTTTCCATTAGGTTTAAAGGGATGGAAGTATTGTTGAGCATTTTATAAGTATAGTCCATGTTACAAAGATTATTAACATTGTCCTTTTAATTCCACAATCGAGAAATAGTTATTTAAATAAGGGTTAAGCATATCAAGTATTCGTGGGCAAGGTTATGATGGCGCTAGCAATTTGTAGTAAGAATTTTATGGTCTTGAATTTTCAATCTTATAGGTGAATCCACAAGCATTTTGTGTGCATTACTTTTCTCATCAACTAAAACTTACGTTAATTGTTGTGCTAGCTAAAAATCATATTCAGATTGCTGCATTTTCAATTTATCACCTACCAGATCAAATGTTCTTGGGAGTCCTTGTAAGTTTCTAGACTTGATTCGTGAAAAAAAAAAGCCCAAATGAGGGAGACACTGGAACCAAAATGTACGGAATCTACGCCAAGGTAAGTTGTACATTAGTAAAATAAATACAGGCATGGCATCGTGCACTCATGCAAGTAATGTGGAAAGACATGATGGTAAAGAGGAGGATGACATAGCACGACGTTGCCTGCAGGTGGGAAGGAATTGACATAAATAAAACTATTCAAAAAAATTTCTCATGGAATTACTCTTAAAAACTAAGCGAGAGAAGGTTCTCACGGACTTCTCCGAGGAAAGTTCTCAAGGATTATTCTAAGAGAACCATTTTCTCTCGGAATAATTCAAGGGAAATAGTTTGTCACAGAAAATTTTGAGAGAAAAAAGTTTCCTTGAAGTTTTTCTTATTTATTTTTTTTTCAAGTGAAAATCTAAGTGAAATCTCTTTAATTTTCACCTAGAATAATTCTAGAGAAAAATATTATCAGATATGACTAGTGACATGATTGTTCAAATAAGCAATAGATGCCATTGCTTTACATTATGTTTACAGGGAGAAGGAAATAAAGTTGAGCATTTTACAAGTATAGTCCATGCTACAAAGATGATTAACATTGTCTTTTTAATTCCACAATTGAGAAATAGTCATTTAAATTAAGGTTAAGTATATCAAGCATTTGTGGGCAAGGTTATGATAGCATCAACAATTTGCAGCATGAATTTCGTGGTCTTGAAAGTCCAATTTTATAGGTGAAGCTACAAGCATTTTATGTGCATTACTTTTCTCATTAACTAAAACTTATGTCAATTGTTGTGCTAGCTAAAAATCATATTTAGGTTGCTGCATTTTTTCAATTAGCATCTGCCAGATCAAATGTTCTACTAATAGGTTGCTCGCAGGTGGGAAGGAATTGGAGGAAGTAATACTTTCTACAAATACGTGATGAAAATTTCTCACGAAATTTCTCTAGAAATTTATCCGAAGAAGGTTCTCATAGACTTTTTCAAGAGAAGTTCTCGTGAATTATTATGAGAGAATCATTTTCTCTGGGAATAATCTAAGAGAAATAGTTTCTCACCAACAATTTTGAAAGAAAAAAAATATCCTTTTTGTTTTTTCTTGCTTAATTTTTTTCCGAGAGAAAATCTAGGAGAAATCCAGGGTTGTTTGAAACTATTTTCATTTTATTATTCTTAAAACTGGTGTTTTATAGAACATGTTTTGAGAATAAAAAATAAGAAAAATTGGTATTTTTCTCATTCTCCTTTGTTCTCCAGAACAATAATCCCATAATATCTAAATTTTTTTTCTATTTTTATGTTCTCCAGTACAATATTTTATTTTTTTTGTTCTCCAAAACATTTTTTGAAAACACTTTTTCTAACAAATTTTTTTGTTCTCTTGTTCTGGAAAACAGAAAACTATTTCCAAAATAAGTTTTCAAATA